TTTGAGAATCACTTAGGCACCCGAGCAAAGAGAGATCGGGACTGCAGATGATTTAATCTGAATCTGCAATTACTCTGTGTGTTAGAAAGTATATTTTAAGAGCTTTATGTTCCTAGCTATCTGAATCTTATTTGATAACAGCCAAATACAAATTGTTACAGCTTAAGTGTATAATTTTTCCCGAAATGTGTCAGTAAAGCTATATAAATATTGTCTTATGAAATTTCTTACAGTGCGCGACAGAAACCTAAAGCTACTTATCAAGATGAACGAAAAAGTAGTGCAAGACTGATTATATTTGTGATTGGAGGAATTACATTTTCTGAGATGCGCAGTGCTTATGAAGTTTCTCAAGCCTACAAGTCCTGTGAAGTTGTTATTGGTAAGCTTGCCCTGGGAAATGGGTGGTGTGTGGGGATTTATTATATGTTTCTGGAAAACGTAAGGATTTTTTTCTTTATATTCCCTAAGTTGATTCAGTAAACTAATACTACAGCCAATGTATTTATTTTTTAAGACTAAGCTTTTAGCAGCATCTTCAGTTTATCTAGATTGCTTGATGTTTGTGGCTTCTCTTTTTCCCTTTTCTAGCAAGATAATAAGGACAATAAATACAGAAGAATCATGCATTACATCAGAGAAATGTGTTATTGAAGTAGCCTGATGGATAGCAAAAAGGTTTTAAGCAGACCTATATTTCCTTGTATTATAGTTTCCTCACAAGCGTTTCATGTGCCTGTGCTTTACCTGCAGACATTCTTATTATCCTAATTGCCTTTAGAAGTAATAGGAAAGCTGTCAATCACAAGTATTTTCTTAAAAACAAACACACACCAAAAAACCCCACCTAAAACCTAAACATACCAAACAACTCCCCCCAAAAAAACCTTTCTGAGTGTAGCTCAGTTGACATTTCAGCAGCTTCTAGTTATTGCCATGGTTTCTTTGGAGACTTCACACAAACCACACCATGATTTATGGCTTTTGTCCTGAAAATGTGTAATCTCCCTGATCTTCTTAAGATACAGCAGTAAATGCATGAATTACTGGCTGAGGTAGTAATCTCTCAGTTAATATTTCAGAGGCAGCAAATGCTTGTTCCGTCAGCTGCTGTGTTTAAAATAATAATTTTCTGTAACGCTATTTAAATTTCGGAGCTAGAACACTTGCATATACAGTACATTAAAACATTGCTCCTAGATCTAGAACCTTACCAGAGGCTTGTATCTAACTGCAGTGGCAGCCAGTGTCTGGGTGCAGGGTCATCTAAAGCATTCTAGATTACTTTTGAGATACCTGTGTCTGGTAATCAAATTTAGTCTTGAGTTTCAAAAAGGACTAAATCTTATCTACCATAATTTTAAATAAATAAGCAATGTTCCCTAAAGCAATGACAATCTAGATTCTGAGATCTAGAGTCTGTTTCCCCAAAATAGCAGGGCATGTTGTAGGTGTGTTTGTCATTGGGATTTTTGTTTTATTTTTTTGTTTGCTGGTTTAGTTAGTGGTGGTTGAGACAGGTTTAACACTGGTCCTAGTTTTGGGTTGCAATGGAAAGACCAGGACAAGTACATAGTTTAACAAGATTGTTTCTTCATCTGAGACTTGTTTACAAAACCATGTTTAGCCCAGGTCACTCTTTCACTGTAAATTCTTCCCTTTTATTTAGAGATGGTTATTGTAGTTTTGTTTGCAATCCTGATTTCTGAGGGAAGGTGGTAACTGCCAAATTTCCATGCTGTGTACTGCAAAATGGAAACCTTCCTGTATTCCTGACTTGGAACTGGAGGAATATTAGCCCATTCACATCGACACTACTAAAACTCAAGGTTCAAGGCAGCCCTAATCTTAAACAATTAAGAGTTTCCTTTATAACTGTAGGGTGACCATTCATGGCAGAAGCTATAATCACTCTATGAGAACGAGAGGTAATTGTGCACTCCTGAAGAATAATAAGGATTTTCTTTGCTGCTCCAGACTTGGAATTTATTGCAAATTAATTCAAGGAAATGTTAGTCAGTAAAAGTCAATTTTTTGAAACTGATACTTCTGTGGAAAAATACTGTTTGTGATAATGTTTAATCCAGATGATTTATTGATTCTAGGATAAAGCATGTCATTAACTCACCCTTTCACAGAATGGGCAGGTTTCTTGCAGGCTGGGACAGTTGCATAGAGTGACAGTGGCCCAGGTTCAAGCCTGTGTTTCAAACCAGTCAGAGCACGGACTTGAAAGCTGTATCCAAAGTAAAAGTCCTAGTCTGGATGTTTCAGCGCTTGGAAGAGGGACGCTGCCTACCAAGTGATGACACTTACAAAAATATTTTTTACATATAAATGTATTGTTTATTTTATATACAGTAAAAAAATCTGGCATGCAACTGATATCTTTTTTTAAAGAGGGAATGTCTGAAAGTCATAAGTATTAACTATATCGGTCTGAAATTCTGTTCTTTTGTCAGGTTCTACTCATATTTTGACACCTAAAAAACTACTGGATGAAGTAAAGAGCCTTAGTAAACCAAAGGATATGGTCTGCATTAAGGATGAATAAAAATGGTGATGTTTATGATGCATTAGAAAAAGACAGTATGTACATATTCTTATGAAATTACCTTTTTAAAATATGGTACCAGGACACTACATGGTTCTGACTGATGGAATGTCGTTTTGTAATTTAAATTTGCTGCTTTTTGGGGGGGAGTAGAAGGCAGAGAGAGTGAGAAATCAACCTGTGTGTTTCTTGGGTTGTATTTTGTATAGACAGTGTTACACTGTAAGTGCTTTTTCAAGAGGGTGTGTTCATTCCTAACAGATCATGCTAAAAGTTACCATGATTCTATATAAACTGGACTTGTTTCTGCAAACTGTGAAACCTTTCTATTGTAGACTTTATTTCTAAAAACAACTGAATTAAAAGGGGCTTAGGTTCTTAGGTAGAGGCTTCAGAAGAAAATTTGTAAATATTAGTTTATTGTAAAAAATATTCCATGCAAGTGCCATGTCTCAAGTTGTAATATTTCTCTAAAATAGCTATCTGAAAATTCTTTAATATATGTAATTGTGAAAAATCAAAAAGCTTTTTTAGATGGTGGTGGGTCAGGTAGAAAGTTAATCACAAAACTACTAAATTCTAATTTCAGTAACTTTAATAAATAACTTTGGAGAAATGCTGTCAACTGTGCACTGAAGTACACTTTCTATTTAAGTATATACAAGGATTATTGGTAAAGCTTTTGAAAAAAATCTTAATTTCTTATAAACTTCCTTATGATCATGTCTACGTAGTCTGTCTGTTTTATAAGTTGAGTTGCCTGTGATAGAGGATTTCCAAAACTTTAAACATAAATTCTCTTTTTGTGGGCAGGGGAAAATGAGAGGAAAAGAAGGGAAGCAGCAGTTGGATCTTTCAGATGGCTTGATAATTTAAAAAAGAAAGGCAAAAAGCAAACCAAATACCAAAACCTGATGCATTCAAGAGAACTGTTTTCTTCTGCTTTGATACATATTAAGAAATGCATAAATTTGTGTTGAAGGGGATCAAATAAATTATAAATTGTATAAATTCTGTAATACTGTTAATATTTAGATTTGTCTTTGGAAATTATTTAAGTATAAGCTTTCTAACCTTGTAAAGGGATATTGTATTGAGTGCCTTGAAGTATTTGTTTGTTGTATGTAGAATCTGAGAGAAATGTCGTAATGAAAAATAATAGATTTCTCATGTGTTTTTGTTTTTCCCAACTGTAGAGGTATTCATTTTTTGTTTTGCAGAACGGTGGGTTTTTTTCTTTTCCCTTAATTTTGCCCTCAGGTTAACTGGTAGGTTAAGAGAACATCTTTGCTAGGTAAGTTCATTCAAAGTTAATTAGAAGGTGGAGACAGGTCAAATCCCCTCCCCTACATCAGAGAGGAATTAAATGGGAGACCATTATGTAACAGTTCTAAAATGTTGCAGGAGATGGGGCATGATGAGGACAAGCGGCTGTAGATTTTGAATGCACTGACATGACCTAGGTATCTAAGACATACCGACTTTCTTTTCAGTAGAAATACAGGAACAACACCTTTTTAATTTAACTGGTTCATTAAATGTCATGTGCATCAAAACTTCAAATTTTTTTTTTAGTAAAAATATCTGTTTTTCTGATTCTAGTTTCTAACTATTAAGTATTGACTCAGGCTAGTAAATTAGTGGTACGCAGCAGCAATTTTAGCTATCATTGCTTGTGTGAAGAGAGTCTGGATTATCTCTGTATCCATCAACTAATGAAACCACTCAGGTTTGTCTGAAAATGCCTGTCCTTTTTAAGCACTGCACTGTCACTTCTAACTTGAAGTGATGATTTTCATAAATTCCTGTATACTTTGGAATTATTTCAGTGAATAGCATCCCTGATAATAAAAGGCCATTAACTGACTGCTTGCCTTTAATCACTGCAGTTAAATGGATTTCAGAAGGAAAATAAACGGATGATTTTTCTTAGCCCACTATATTTCTGCAGTATTTTAAAATTTTCCAACCTACTTACGATCAGCTAAAATCTCAAAGCCAGGTATATCTGATAAGGTAAAGACATCACATTGAAGAAACAGACATTTAATTGTTTGGAATACATAGGCAACAAATGGTAGTTTTCAGTTACTGAGACATGCAAGGAAGTATCTTAAAAACAAACAACTCTCAATATCGGGCACTCTAAAAACAAAACAGTTACATCTGTTAACTATGATTTTGTATGTTAGCATGATGCTTAGATGTCTTGGGTGTGGAGGCGGTTTCCTTTTGCTGGTCTGCATGAGCAGCTGCTACAAAGGTGTGGGAAGAAAATACATGCTGTAGTGACTGAGATTTAATCTCTTTTGGGGTGGTGGGAAATGGAAAGTCAAAAAGTTAATTTTGCTTGTTTAAGCCAATTTTTATTAAGCTATCTTAAGTGAATCTCAGAGAAGGCAGCTGTACACTGTAACAGGGGTCAGCCAACATACTAAAGACGGTGGAATACCTGTATGCTTAGGTTTAGTTAGAGAACAGCTGGCAGAGTCAGCTAGCTGACTTTCTGATCTTTGTATTTGTCATTTTATATTTGCAGAGATACTGATACTTCCGTGTAAATCAGCAAAATAATACCATATTTGACACTGGATAATTAAAGCTGTTTTCTCCTAACTTTAGCTAGGTCTTCTGAAACTGCTCGTACCATTCGTTCTGTAGCTTTCTTCAAACTGTTTGCTGTCTGTATGGCGTGATCCAGAGTAGAACTTAAAATCTGTTGGGAATAATAAAATACAGCCTTGTTAATACTCAAGGCAAATTTATGTAGGTGTAGAATAGAAAGTGGTGTTTAATTAAGGTTCTATGTAGCATTTTCACTCTGAATGTATGTTGAGAAGTAAAAATTCTGAGTCATGTGATAGACTGCTCCAGGATTCGGGTTGGAAGTATCTGTTACTTATTTCTCTCTTTAATGGTGTAATTCTTTGAACTGAAGGGTATTTACACCTTTCTAAACTAGGAGCCCCAGTGTAGTGCATGTTTGTGGTATTGAGAAGGTTTTCTTTTGGTTTTGATAGTGGTTTGTATGGCTAGGGTGACTTTTTTTTGTTTCAGTATATGAAACATAATTCCAGAGGTAAGATCCAGTGCTCCTTTCCTGTCCCTCTCATGACTTATACAGGATTAAGTTGCATAAAAAGTCTGTAACAGACTCATATGAAGTAGTATACTGATGTATAAGCTAAAATACTTGGTTCCTTAACTTCCTCCTGTCTTATCCACAAGGAGACTAGACATGCTTGTAATAATAATTGTAATAATCAACTTAAGAATGGAGATTTTCAACAGTGCCATGATGTGAGGATGCACTCTTCCCAAGATAGTTGTGGCTTTTGACTTTCACTCTAAAGTCTTACATTTGCATTGGAATCATCAGCATTTCTGTTTCTGATGTTGATTGCAGATTTCCTGCTGGCAGACTTCTTGCTGGGTAAGTATTGACGTGAAAGCATAACTTTATCATGTGAGCTTGAATAGCAGGTTTTGGCAGCCTCAAGGTTTTGCCTGAAGATAAGATATATATATAGAT